TCACAACTTCGACAGTATTCGGTTAGACGTGTTGTGATTTCTCCCCAATGTGTATGACATCGTATTCACTGCCGTCCAACTCATAAACCAAGTTCTGTTTATCCAAATGAGGAATTTGGTCTTTTGATTTGGATGGACGAGTGTAATGTTCAGCAGTTTAAAGAACGTCATAGTGTTGTACCTGTTAGGAATAAGTCTATTTTATATAAGTGAAAAACTTGGGCACTGTGGTAGAATGTAGTTCCATATTAGATTTGTTTATTTGATATAAAGCGCACAGTGATACAGTATTATTTACTTGACAATACTGTATCACTGTGCGCTTTATATCAAATAAACAAATCTAATATGGAACTATAAATCTATTTTACTTCTGATGTGGATGTTCGATACCGAAATACCACAGTAATTATCCCACCTTCATGAGTTGGTTTTGCATATCTTTTTTCGACAAACGTTTTTCTATTCGTTTAATTAACTTTTCCAAATAGTTGCTTTGTTTTAGGACCTTTCAAACAAGTTGCCTTCTTGCTTCCTGAAATTCCAGTTTAATTGGTACTCTCTATGATCTCATCGATAGATCTTTTGCGATATTTAACTTAGTTTCTAGTAAAGGAGCTGAATCGGAGTTTGTCAGGATGTGTATCTTTTCGATAGACATCAATATCAAGTGTTCCGGCCTTGTTTCGTAAGACCCTGTAGTTTTGAGAAGTTAGCGTTTTGGGTTTCATGAAGTTGAAGCAGCTACTATGATGTTTGAAAAGCTTTTTTAGACCTTGTCTTTTGGTTATGACAAAGGTGTCATCGACATACCTCCATCGTATTCTTGGTTTTTAGTCATGTTGGACAAATAGGTCTGATTCAGCTTTGATCACGCATAGATTATCTATAATAGATGGAACTAGTGAGCACATTGCTACCCTAATTATTTTTCGATACAGATTTCCCCCACCATTGGTTTCCAGTCTAAGCCATATCTGAGTGGCGTGATCTTTCGGACCCCACCCAGAGAATCGTAATGCACTAACAGAAGCTAGCCTGACACAGTTATCCTTCATCCGACGACATCGTGTCATACACTGACACTGTTCGCTTCTTCCATCCAGTCCCAGGGCTAGCAAACAATGAACGGTATGAAAGATGGGTCGATGTGCATAGCATATATCCAAGCCACCGAAGCCGGTGTTTCTAAATGACTTCACTTATTAGGTGACAACCTCCATCATGCCAAAACACACGCTGTCGAATCACAGAATCACTTACATTGTGTTGCCACTGGATACAAGCAATCCTACGAAGAGTGATGATCGAACACACAGCCGTCACACATTCTCATCTTGGAGACGCCCGGTATCACAAGGATAGAGCGTTATCGCTCGCACCGAAGCATTGTAAACCCGACCTTTTACAGTCGGACTAAAGTCGTGACGGCGCCAAAGATAGCCCAGATTGTTGTTTGCCATTTTCGCTTCCGATATACGACTAGAAAGTTCATTACTCACACCCCCAGCACACACAACTACCCAGATACACGAACTTTTCGACTACTCCCAAAAGCTTACCCAAGAAGGTGAGCGTAGGCAGAGACTCTTTCTAATCTTGCAAAAGTACTTTGCCATTTGGTGGTGCAAAACACGCCATACTTACAGGCACTAACCGCCAACTGACTAAGTGTGGTTTCGGTAGCCTGTAATCGCGCAGTAAAAAGATATCGACCGCACATTCAAGGTCGAACAGCCGTTCGCCAGGTAACAGATCTACGCCACCATCATGCACCTCCTTCAGATGTGTCTCGATAATGTCATAAATGGCAAAGTTAAGGAAGAACGGAGAAATCTGGCAACCATGACTATCCCCACTTACGGTTTGGAACAATGGAGGCAACTAGTTTTATCCTCTCACTTTATCTGAAGTGTTAATATATAGGGATTTCAAGATGTTAGTATATTTTTCGGGCACACCCCACTCTAACAGACAATTCCAGAGCACAGCTATGTCCAACGAATCATAGACAGCCATGATCTCAACAAACACGATTGTTGGCCTGTTATACGGTGGTCTTCAAGCATCTAGCAGAGGGTAAACACGGTCAATGCATCCCGAGGTGAATGAAACCAGATCAGCACCTCAAGAATCATTTTCTCGCCCGTTTTCCAAAGTCTGCGAAGTATGACAGTAACCAATATCTTCGACGCGACTTGTAACAGATTAATACCCCGATGATTGTCACATGTACTTCGTTGATCGTTTTTGAAGGTGGGCATAATGATAACCTCATTCCAGAGTAATAGAACACTTTCAGTCTGCCATACCTTCTCAAACAATCTAGTCAGGGAAACGACCAGAGTCGTTTCTCCCTCCTTAAAAAAAGAGTCAGGGTAAGCTGTCTAGGCCGAATGCATTGTGGTGTTCTAAAACTTGGAGTCTCAAATGCACCTCCGCTTTGTTAGGTTGGTCAGTGTGAACTTATCATGGAGCACGATACACTGAAGCTGACAATGCTGAAGCCGTGGGCCAGCTAAACTGCTCTTTGAAATACTCCACCCATCGTTCTGGGCATCTTTGAAGATTGTTTATCGACATACGATCTACCGCACAGGTCGTCTCACTGACACGGGGCTTCTTGCAGGTGAGTGACTCGGATTAGCTGGAACAGCTTCCAACTATTGCTTGATGCAGCTGCTGCTTCCATCTCACTCTTGAGTTCTGACCACAAAGCCTCATGGTCTTAGCCTAAGCGTTGTGTAATACTTCGCGTTAGAGACTTAGGAAAACCATTGTACTCACTTTTCACTAGATTTGTCCGACGGGCGTCAAGAAGTTGCAGGGAGCTTATAGAGAGAGACCCAGTGTTTATTAGAAGGACCTTCTTCCAAGCTGTGGGCGGCTTTGCTGGCCATTTTCATGGTGGATGTCTACACTTTCTGGAGGATCGGTGACAGGCCTAAAATTTAGCTCGGATTGATATTCAGCTGCAATACTAGGTGTAACTAATTTGCTTGTATTGACTTGTTTAGATCGATGGTTTTGCTGACCAGCAAAATGCAAGACGAACTTAGTACACACTGAAGCATGATCATACACTTGCACATTCAGGCCCCCAACTGGCACTACGGTATCTGTCGAGCGCACTTGGTTGAGAATGTCACTCAGTTGGTGATAGAATTCATCCTTGGTTGCATCCAAGCTGTATTACGTCGGAGCAGACATAGGCAGACATGACAAAGAGAAAACGTTTCTCTTACTCGAGATGAACCTTCTAACCTAACAACACACACACACACAACTGTTGATGGGAATCCATTCGAGTAGTGGAGCTTCGACTCAGACGCTTAGTGAGATATAGACACCCACGAGACCGGTTTCGACTGCCACAGAGTCCCCAGATAAGCCTATATGAAACATACTTTCCAAGCTGACAGATGGGAAACTAATTCAAAGCACTCTACTGGGATCTTGTATGCCGGTCTCTGAGTTGCGGCATACATCTCAGTGGTAAGGCTTTCCAGAGTCCCGATCAAACCAGCATGTTGTCCGATCTGCATCAATGTCCGAACGTTGAAGGTGGCGAGCTTAGACGGTATGTGTGGTCTCAGGATAGCTGTGTCAGACATCCCACTGGCGGACAGCTTAATGGGGGCAACCGTTAAGCGACTCACAACGGTACAGACAGACTAGAAATCTAGGCACTGGAGACCAGCTGAGTGAAGTGAGGGTGAAGATGAAACCGAAAATGGTAGTAATAATAATAATAATAAAGAAATACAATCCATATGTAAAACAATATAACAGCAATAAATTGAGTAATTGGCCATAAAGTTCGTAGTATGGAGTGTTTGAGCATTGGCAGGAAAGTTGGGTGAGGGCCTCGAAACCTTCTTTTTATATTGTAAATTCATACAATACCCCCGGGATATCCAGATCGAAGCAGGTGGTTGTCTTAGATGACCATTCCAAGAACCTCTGACCTAAAATCTAATCCGCAAGGCAGTGGAGCAACATCAGGAACTGCATTCCCATGGTTGCTGGTGACCGAAATGGGTTCATACGCCATTCATTCCTTCCGGAACGTGGAGTGGATATGCACCATTAGTTTGGAATCAGGGTTTTCCAATTGCCTTAGATTTACCCTCAGTAAACACCAATCTGGTGATAAGCACCGGACATTTGCTCACGGTCTTTCACTTCTGTGGAAATGCCCCACCACGTGAAGATAGTGAATAGGACCTCTCTGGCAGAGGCTGTGAACGCATACCAGAGATTTTGGGGACCAGTTCTCGTCGTCTTGCAGGTGACATACAAGTCAATGTTTGGGTGAAATAGATTGGTTAGCTGACGAGGTCGTCTAGTCGTCATCTACCCTGTCACCCAATCTTAGCTTATATAAGTTCAGGCGGAATAATTTAGAGGTGGAGGCGACCGAACTTACATGTGACATCATTCCTTGAAGTCTCTGATTGCTGGTTTCAACCTTGTAGGGGACGTAAGGTTGAGACATAATTTGTGTAGTGAATCCTGTAAACTATATCTCAAAGATGCCAAGTTATCTTAACATGACTATGGAAAATAAATTATGCCCAAAACGCTATCCAGTAAATAAGAGCGACAAATCTTATAAACCAAATAAAATGGAATTACATTCTACCAGTGCTCTAATATGTTTCGACTTGAGAAAACTACACATACATCAGTCATGTAATATTTTGAGTGTTACTCAAATTACGTAACCGAACCATAAATACTTTGACTGTATGTTCGAAGAAATCAAATCTTTAAAAGTCTGTATCCTAAGCGAAAATTAGTACTGAAACGTGAACCGATAAGTTCATGGCATTTAATAGTATCAATTCATCATAATACAACAAGTCTGCAGACAGTAAATGATTTAAGAAGTATCAAAGTTGTATTTACACGTCAGTATTATATAAAGGAGTAAAGTTGTCAATTTCAAATGTTACAGGTACGAAAGATATTATAGCCATCTAGTGCTGTTGTAAATACTAACCCGGTATTTGTGGATGCCAGTGGGCTTCCTTCAACTCTGTTTGGCCACTATGAACAAATAACAATTGAACTGGTAAATCTAAGTCTTCTTCTCCATCCTTGTCATTACTTGTACTTGGTCCATTCAACTGCTTCACATCTTGTTCAGACTGTTCTAACGTGATATCCCAAAAACTAGCTTGATCATCTTCACATGTAGCCACAAAAACGCTAGCATCATTCGGATGCCATTCCACTGATGTGATCGGTTTTTTATGGTACTGCAATATGATATTAGACGGAGAATTAGATATGGTATTCAAATGCCAAAAATTACAGTTATTTTCTAACAAATACAGTTTTCAAGTTGTTATTCATCGAAGACTGACATCAGTTGGAGGAACAAAGGAAACCTGGGAGCACTGGACAGCTGTTTCGTCCTAGTATGGGACTCCTCAGCAGTGCGCACCCACGACCCCACCAGCAGGGATCGAACCCGCGACCTTCAGGTTCCGCGACCAGCGCGTTACCATTGAGCCACTGGGTCAGAATCCGATGCTCCATATTTCCAACTTCTGTTAGCTCACGATATACAGTTTTCATGATGATGAACTTTGTAGACTTTGATCAACATACAGGGTTTGACATCTACGGCAGTTATCACGCAATAATCAATTGGTTTCAAGTTTTCCATGTAATAAAATGATGACATACTGAGGCCTTTTGTTTCTGCACAAAAACACTTGCGGAGACATTTACTTCGCTTATTTTCATGACAGTGACATCGGAAAATAGGTAAAGATAAAGCAACACACTTGTTAAAAGCCGTTCATTTGTTTTACGGAAACATTTCATATTAGAGAAATTTATTGATTCATGATTGGTACATGATTCACTGCGACAGTCAGACAAATACTACTAGTTTTAATTGTGGTTTTTCTGAAGTTTCAAAATTTAGCTAGTTGTGTCTTAAATTACAATTAACAATACCTCCACCTAGGTCGGCTTACTTCCCTTGTCTCAAACTGAGTCAGTATTGCACAAAAGAGGTTTACAATATTAAACTTTATTGATTGAGGTGTATGTAAGGCGCTGGACTCTTTGCTTGTTACTGAGAGACATAAAACACCTACAACTAATAGTAATAATGGTCTCATGAATGAATACTTCGACAATGAAGTCATTGGTGATAAAACAATATCGCTCGGTATTGGATGGTATCACTATTTCACCTAAGACTTTGGAAGCATGGAGTTATAAACCAGCCAGCTAGACTATACGCTTACCAGTAACCTTCGTAGACGGCTGGAACGCTGTACGAAGGAACTCCAAGTATTAAACCACCGAAAGCAACCGGCCCACACAACTTACTCCTGACCTTTATTCAGGATGGGGTGGGGTTGTAGGCAACCAGATGACTGGATTGTTTGAACTATTTCGGACAGTGTTTCATCACTCCAGAATGAGACCACTGTTGTACTTGTTTCTAAAAATGGTCTAGGTAATGTGTGTGATAACTATAAAAAAAACATGTTTCCTTATTATCTCAAACTAACAGTGATGCAAGGTTGTCAGATCATACCATTCCCCTTTAAATACAATTTGTAGATAGCTCTGAAGCGGGTGGCATAGATTTGTGACTAGATGAAAGATTTTCCAAAAAACAGCGTTTTACTAAGCATTCACCCTTGAAAAATAACTAATAAGTATAGTTAGGAAGTTGATTAACCTGTGCAACTGTGTGATTGCTGTTAAAGATAAGACTAACGAGGTTTACAACTGCATATCGAAAACTAGAGCAGCATACGCTAATCCCAATCACGTTCAGCACTATCATGTCACCAATCTGATTGTAAAATGCTGGGTGCACAACGCGTAATACCAGAAGAGGTGGGCAAACAGTTTAAAGCGCAGTTAAACTAGTCCTCAGCAACGCTTCCGTTACCCAAAATCTATCCAGCACGAACCTGAATGGGACGTAAGTATCTGTCCTTCAACTCTCCTTGAAGTTGAGAAGGCTGTATCGAACCTGGAACGATGCGAAGCAACAGAAGGACCTAATAGTTTGCCACCTGGAGTTTTCAAGGATGGAGGTAGGAAATTACTGATTAAAGTGACGGCGGTACTAGGTAGTGTATTGGAATCAGAGGTAATGCCGTCAGCTTGATGTACTTCGCTGATCCTCACAGTCTGTTAGTAGGGAGGGGGGTTTCTTGTGACAACCATAAGGGAAATAGCTTGACTAAAATTGTATCCAAGATATTAGGATGCACAGTTATCTGATGCCTAACTGGAGCACACGAACAGCACACTCAAGAAAACCAGGTCTCAGACCTAAACGATGGTGCATCGATAGTATTTCAACCTTCCGGCAGGTCCCAAAACACAAGCATACCTACCGACCAGAGGCCAACACCTGCCATATTTCTACGAACGGTGGCATTTGACTCAGTCGACCGTGAGTTATGGCAGTGCTCGACTGTGAAGGGAGTACCGAGCAAGTAAATAAAGCTAATCTCTACTGACACTCACGCAATCATGTAAGGGTTTATGGAGAGTTATCAGCAAAATTGACGACAACCAGTGGTGTTCACCAGGGATATCCACCAACACCTTTCCTATTTAAATTCGTTATAGACGAACTAATGGATACAACCTTAGGTACTTCTGGTTTCACAGGAAGGTCATCTAGTTGATTTGGAGTATGCAGACGATATTGTCCTGCTGGATGAAGACGCTGGCAAAATGCATGGTCTTCTATACGTGTTGAGCAGAAATCTAGGTATGTTTGGTATGCGATTCTCCAGCACCTACCAAATGTAAAGTGATGCTTCAGGACTGGTCTGCTGCAACTACTCTCAGTTTAATGATAAGGAGTGGAGTAGTGGAATATGTAGACAACTTCACTTACTCGGGAAGTTACATCAGCTTGAATGGGCTGGTTGCTGACGAAAACTCAGTGTGGATGCAGGAAGACTTTTTGGCATTTGCCAACTTGCCTCACGTGTGGCGCCAACTGGCGAGACATAAGACTATCTAATAAAGGACGAGTATACTGCGCTGAAGTCCGCTCTGTCCTATTGTACGGCTGTAAGACATGGTGGTGTGCATTTGCTGGAATCACTGTGTGAGCAATTTTGAGGTCAGGAGAAGGGTACTAGGAAAGACAAGCAAGTCGACTGATGAGGTTGTGAACCTTTGTCGACTGTGCATGCCAAGTCATAACCCCTACCCCAACGTGCCATGCTAGGGAAAGTTGGATCAGACTGGAAGACAGTTCAGGTCAGTCAGACCAAGATGTGGCGCCAATCAATGAAGTCTCTTATTACTGATCTGATCTGAGTAATGTTGGAATAAATAGATTGCCCGATTGGGGTCTCCGATATGTGAGAAATCAGTGGTTGAAGACTCATGGTGATATGGCTGAAAACCGGTCACAACAGCGCAGATGTGTTTATTGTTTGACGTCTGCAGCTTTAATATTCACACCAACCTTTACCTTCAGATTGCTTATGCTTTTGCAATATTTTATCTTTTTTGACATCACTCTTTTCTGTCGACCCGTTGTTTGCTTACTACTGTGAACTGTAGCAACTTGAACCGATGTACTTGTGTCGAAGGTCCCACGTTGCTTTTTCCGATCAGTCAATTCTCAAGTGAGACGACCCCTGTTCGAACAAATGCGAGCGTAGGTTGCTTCACACAGTTTCGCATTCACCGTGCTTTAAAAACTCAACTCACCTTGGCACAGGTTTATCAGCTAGGCTATTACCCATACTTCTTGTGTGAAGGCCTATGATACCACCCAGGTTCTAAACCGAATTAGGTGGAAGAAGATTAGAACTCGGCACCCATCGCTTCAAAAACCGATTTCTAATTCAATTTCACACATTTGTAGGTTTAACAGTATCTAACTATTTTATCAACTATAAGCACTGACGCATACCGTGGAGGAAAATCACAATTTGTTCAACTAACTTGGTGACCACACAATTATTGAACTACTGCACATAAATCTAATGCGTATGTCAAACTTAAACTAAGACGCATATAAATATCAAAACTTAGAGTAGACGTCGCTTGCCTTCTTGTAATACTGATTTTGTTGACCGTGCACTTCAAAGCTCATTTATTACGAGGAAAATGAAATCATAGTCAAATGATTTAACAAAGCTAGGTAGCATCCCAATGTCTAGACTGAGAATGGTGTAGATCTACTGAGCATATCAAGGCAGTTTTACCGCGGGTTGACATCAATCAAAGCATTACTGAAAACTTATTACCAAAAAAACTGTCTCACCCTAGTTTGGAACTCTTTAAAAGTGAACACCCACGACCTCATGTGAAATGGAGCAACGGATTGTCATATCCCATGACGATCACTTTGCTATTCAGGCAGTAGGTTGGAAATAAATGGTTTAAGATAATTATTATTATTATTATTATTATTATTATTATTATTATTATTATTATTATTATTATTATTATTATTAGTCCCTTGGGTTCCTAGTGGAACATAGGGCTTCAGTAGCACGCCTCCAGTGACCTCTGTTCTCTGAGATCTTTTGAACCTGGTCCCACGACAGCCCAGAAGCTCTCATTTCCTGCTCGCACGACCTCCTCCATGTCACCCTTGGACGTCCAACTCGTCGCTTCCCATGGGGATTCCACTCGAGGGCCTGACGCGTGATGTCCTCAGTCGGCCTTCTCAGTGCATGGCCAATCCATCTCCACTTCTTCCTGCATATTTGTTGCGTGATAGGTTCTTGGTTGGTTCGTTCCCAGAGTTCCTTGTTGCTTATTTTTTCTGGCCATCTGATCTTCAGCAGCGAGCGTAAGCAGTTGTTGATGAATGTCTGTAGTTTATTGGAAATACCTTTCGTGACGCGCCAAGTCTCTGAGCCATACAAGAGCACTGACTTGACGTTGGTGTTGAAAATCCGTATCTTGTTCCGCATGCTGAGTGCAGAAGATCTCCACACTGGTTTCAGGCTAATGAATGCCTGTCTTGCTTTTCCGATTCTGACTTTGACGTCCTCGTCCGTCCCGCCTGTAGTTGAAACAGTGCTTCCTAGATAAGTGAAGGAGGTTACTTCCTTCAAGTTTCTCCCGTTGACAGTGATTGGAGTTTGTTGTTGTTGTTGTTGATGGTGGTGGTGCGGTATCTTCATCACTTCTGTCTTCTCTATATTCACCTGAAGTCCCGTCTTCGCTGCCTCTTCTATCAACTTGTTAGTTTTTGCCTGCAGATCTTCAAGTTTATGTGACATTAGGCATAAGTCATCGGCGAAATCCAAGTCTTCTAGGTTCTTTTCCGTCGTCCAGTGTATCCCCCTCTTCTCGCTGCCTACTGTTTGCTGCATGATCCAGTCCACCACAATCAAGAATATCATGGGGGATAGTAGGCAACCTTGTTTCACTCCTGTCTTCACTTCAAAGGCATCACTGAGCTTCCCATTGTGGATTACTTGGCATGTGGCATCTTCATATAGTTGTTGAATGAGGCGGATAAAGGTTTGCGGCACTCCGTAGTATTGAAGCAGTTTCCAAATTACTTCTCGGTCGACGCTGTCAAAGGCCTTCTCAAAGTCGATGAAGTTGAGGTGGAGAGGTGATTGCCATTCTATGCTCTGTTCTATGATGATGCGAAGCGTTGCAATTTGGTCTGCACATGATTTGTACTTCCTGAAGCCTGCCTGTTCCGGTCGTAGTTTTGAATCCAGTGCATCCCTTAGCCTCTCCAGGATGATGCGGCTTAATATTTTACTTGGGGTGGACAGGAGAGTGATTCCGCGCCAGTTCTTGCAAGCACTGAGGTCTCCCTTCTTCGGCAGTTTGACAAGGTAACCCTTCTTCCAATCGTCAGGTACCTTCTCTTCCTTCCACACCTTCTGCAATAGTGGTGTGAGCATGGCCGCTGTTGTCTCTGCATCTGTTTTCAGTGCTTCTGGCGGTATTCCATCTGGTCCTGCTGCTTTCCCACATTTCAGTAGCTTTATGGCGTTCAGGACTTCCATTTTCGTTGGGGGATTTATGTTCACTTGTAGTTCAGCGGCTGCAGGTGGTATTTCTGGACGAAGTGCAGGTGGTGGTCGATTCAAGAGCTTCTTGAAGTGGTCGGCCCATCGTTTCCTCTGTTTCTCTTCTTTTGTAATTAAATTTCCTTCTTCATCTTTTATTGGTTTCATCTGTGTTGGTCTCTTCCCTGATAGCAACCTGGTTATTTGATACAATGTCGTCAGGTCTCTCTTACCTGCAGCCTGTTCTGCTTCACTTGCCAGTGTTTCGTAGAAGTGTCTTTTGTCGTTGCGTGCACTCTTCTTCACTTCTTTGTCCAGTGTTTTATACATTGTGCTCAGTTCCTCTTGTCGTTGAGCATCCTTGCACTGGTTTATCTTCTGCTTCACCATCCTCCTCTCCTCTATCAGCTTCCAGGTATCCGTCGAGATCCATTCCTTGTCTTCTTTCTTCTTCCTTCCTAATACTGTTGTGCAGGTTTCTTTCCACATAGCTTTCAAAGACTTCCAATGTTCTTCCACACAGGTTTCTTCAGGGATGTTGCTCGATGTCTCCCATTTTGTCTTGATGGCTGCCTTGAAGATCTCCTTTGTAGTTTCATCCTTCAGTTTCCGAGTGTTGTACTTGGGTTGAGGTCTATCACCAGCTTCCTTGAAGGCTTTTAACTTGATTTGGAAGGTTCCTTGCACTAGGTAGTGGTCTGAACCTACATCTGCTCCTCTTCTTGACCTTGTGTTAAGTAGACTGCGTCTCCATTTTCTTGAGATTGAGATAAAGTCGATTTGATTTTTAGTGTGTCCATCTGGTGAAATCCATGTCGCTTTGTGGATATCTTTGTGCCTGAACACACTGCCTCCAATCACCAAATCGTTGAATGCGCAGAATTCTGCAAACAATTCTCCATTCTCATTCATTTCACCTAGTGCCTCTCGACCCATGGTTAGTTCTCTTCCCGTGTTGTCCCCTCCCAGTTTGGCATTCATGTCGCCCATCAGAATTTTGATATCGCCAACTGACGTCTTGTCCAGTGTTGATTGAAGTTGTCTGTAGAAATCCTCCTTTTTCTCTTGCTCTGCATTATTTGTAGGTGCATAACATTGTATGATTGTGACCTTTCTTCCTTTTGAGTTGAATCTTGCTGTCATGATCCTGGAGGAGATTGGTTCCCACTGCATGAGAGCCTTCGATGCTCTTGAGGACATCATGATAGCCACTCCCTCAGTGTGCTCGTGGTTGGCGTCTGGGTGACCGGAGTAGATTATTGATTCTCCAGTTGACAGTTTGGAGAGTCCACTCCCATTCCATCTGCTTTCGCAAATCCCAAGCACTTCGATGTTATACCTTCTCATCTCCCTTGCAATCTGGGCTGCCTTACTGGGTTCAAACATCGTGCGGACATTCCATGTCCCCACGTTTACTTTCGCTTTCATCGAGAGAAGACACATCGGCCAATTGGCTTCCCGAAGGCTTTCACCAACTGGCGTCATTTCGCCTCTCCGATTCCAGCGGGGAATAAGTTTGTTTTCATTTTTTATATTTTGTTTGTGCTTTGAAGTTTCTTTAGCGGTTAGATTTGTTTTACGGGGTAGGGTTGCTAGCCCTATGCCCAACCTTCCCTCTTTACCCGGGCTTAGGACCGGCTAGTAACTAGTAAACTAGTTAACCAGGCGAGGTTGGTTTAAGATAATAACCTATATTAATTCATAAAATATCGTGACCATTACCTACCATCGTCAATAAGCATCAGTCTTCACACACGACTCAGTTAACCACACTAGTTATCACAAAGCACAATTCTATCATTACAAAACTTACGTCAAATATATGTGTGTACGCTGGGATAGATGCACCTTTTGATTTCCCTTTGCTGTAACGATTATGAATTAGTCGCAAATCCCATACTCTCAAAGTCCCATCATCTCCTCTGTCAATAGATTTGTAGGCTGTGACCGATTCCAGGAGGCAACATTTATGTCAGCTGGATGAGCTTCACAGACAGTAATCATACTACTATTTGATACTGGAGCACGAATATCCCATACCCGTATACTATGATCAGAAGAAACAGAGATAAAGACAGTTGGTTCTGTAGGAGACCACTGAATATCCTCAACAGAATTTGTGTGTCCCAAATGCGCCTTTTCGATACAGCCCAGTCAGTAGGCTGATTAAAAAGAACAAATTAAAATCAGATCGTTTAAGAAACCAACCACACATTTATATTTACGATAAAGATATACGATATACGATAAAGAAATACACAACTAACTGCCACTACAGATGATTTGCTTCCCAATGATTTACTAAGTAGCAATGGGAGAAATTGACTCCCATTTGTATCACCAATTATTCAACGCAAAACTCCTCATGTGATAGAAAGTTAAAGTTTTTGGGAAACATTAAGATTACTTTTAAATGTGCTCAGCAAACTTGTGCACATTCATGCAATAGGCAACGAACCACACCTAGTTTGCGCTGGTTAGTGATAATTAATACGTGGATGCGCACACACACCTCGGTCGGTGGAGTGTGCAAACCTATTACCTACTGACTGGAAGTTAACTACCTAAACCAATGAGTCACAACTCCACCTTAAGGTGCCTATGAAACTGCACAAAAGTAAATAGTCAAATTAACGGAAAATGGAAAATAATGTAAACTGCTGTTCCGGAAGTATTTAACCGCAATCAAGAGACCTCCGAATTGAAATGCAACTGGACATGAAATGAACGGATAAACCGCAAAAAACCTTACAGACGACAAAGTCACTTTCAATTAAAAGAACACCATCGTCACAGTCAAATTACTAAGTAGTGGGTGATTTAATCTTTACCCAGATTTAGATACTTTAAAATTTAGAAACCACCTACAAAACGTCAGCTTTCTTCACTTTTGATTTGTATAGTTACCTAGTTTTTGAAAAACACTAGGTTTCAAACCTTTTGAAAGGTTAGTCAGTATGAAGTCATTTGATGAAATATCGAGGGCGATAGACCTTACAGAGACTGTTTAGCTCATTTTTGAAGCTTTTCGCAATATGTAAAAGCCAATATCCCGTCATTTGTCCAAAAATTCGTTTATATCCGAAAACAATGAGTTGTAAAAAATGAGTGACCAGTAAGTCACAGAAAGGAAGTTTCTTGGAATGGTAGGGAAACACGCAGCATATAATTTGAAGGTAGTCAAACAGTATGCAAAGCACTTATGATGCACGCTGGAAAACCTCTTCACAGTTTAAGCGAGAAAGTTTGTGATGTGTGACATGTAAAGGTTTAAGAATAAGCTCTGAATTAAACTTGAATCTCATATCCTTTACTATTACCAAAATATAAGTTATAATTCGAAGTGGTTGCAGTGAAAAAATTAAACATATGATATTGCTAATAACGAAATACCTAGATTATTGAATTACACGTTCGCATGGACCTAAAACTCGCAAAGTTATCTTGCATACTTTCATACGCTAAGATTGGACGACAAAACCAAAAAGAAATGGAAATTCAGTATACATCTAAAACCATCACACTATAATTGCACACACATCGATAAAGTGTTGAATATTTTAATCCTAACATGATAAAAGTGATGGGAACTGAACTTCACAGAACAATCTGAAAGAATATATACTGAATTACTCGACTGATGTACGCAATAACTCTTCCGGATAACAAGAGCTCGATCAAATTGGCGACTAGGAAGAATGCATATTATTGTAACGTAGTTACTTTTCCGCTGACCGAATGAGAAACTGTATCCAGAAAGCAAACGGACTTGGTTTGTACCACAAATACAAGTTAGATAGTTTACTATCAATCATACAAAACAGTTGAAAATCAAAAAAATCCCTAGGAAATGAAAATAAGCCTACACAGATAACCTATCATTCATCTCTTAGCTTTTGATTTTGGCATAATTTCCCACTCCCTATAATTATTTCGAAAACAAGTTGATTAAGAGTAATGGGTCTTTAGGATTGATCTTTCTCCAGCTAGTTTGGTGGTAAGTACAACCAGTGTTGCCTGAAACATGGTTGTACAGATATACAAACTAACGTGGAATCCTGTATATGCTGAACTGAATTCATAGTGGTTAGGAAAATCATTTGTCTTTCGCTACGTTGCGATGAACCAGTAAACTCTCTACATAAAATTATGAAGTTGAGAATGAATTATTGAGACAGAAGTGCGGCAAATACATGTCCGTAGTAGGCTATGAAACATATTATTAAAGCGTGACTAGTACTACAAGAATTTTCAAAGTGGACTAGATGAATTAAATTTCGAATCTACAAGAGAATAAAGGTGTTGAACCAATGAGTTACAACTCAATGCAAAGATACATTATCCGTTGTCTTATTTAAAAAAAAATGTAATTGACAATTTTTTTTAAGGGTTGGTTAGTTCAGAGGGCGTTACTGAAGTGTTCTTACACCATCCAAGTGGTTAGGAAAACCCTATAACGTTATATTAACGTATGATGAATCCAGTTTGTAACAACTACATAGTTTTTTCGATAGAATAAGATTCCGATTTATTGTATTTCTTCCTGCAAAATGTATTGATCCAGTACATTTTGTTGTTCAGATAGGCGTTTGTTGAAAGTATTTAGGATTACCACCACGCCAATATGAAGTTATGTGTTGATAATGAGATTTAAATAGTCACTCAAAATTTGTCAGGTCTAATTTGTTTAACTCATCCAAAGAAAAAAGATTTGAAGTAACCAAATGGAGAAAATGTTCCTTAAAATTTCAGCAAAGTCGCCTGAATATTCATATATATCCACAGCAAAAATGCTAGCAGTTACAAGCAGTTAAGTGGGCACAATTATTTGAAAACCAGTGAGTGAGACTTACCACTCATTAGCATGAAGAATCATACAAAATAACTTTAGTGATTACTACAAAAAGTTCAAACTTGACTTACTCGAGGTATCCAGTGAAAAATACTGCCACTACAATCTCCTGTGGCTAGATATCCTGTAGCACTAGTGTGAGGACTCCAGTCCAAGGCAAAGCCTTCTGAAGCATGACCCTTAAATGTAAATATAGGCAACGAAGATTCGTTTTGGCGAGTATACTGTGCCATAACAGCTGAATCATTCACAGCAGTAAGAGGCCTGGTCAGATCCCATATGAAAACCTAAGTAACAGAAAAATATGACTGTATTTCTGATCTGTAAAAAGAGTAAACGGAATCAGCTAATTCTACATTTTAAAAGCCATCCAATATAACCGATAATAGGCAATAATAAAATAATAGTAGTATTTAATAGATACAAAATAAACTTGAGTCACCAGTTCCTCATATTTTTGACACTAGATTACTTTATTTGTTTGTAAGTTCAGGAGGCTGAAAATTTACCGTACACTAACATTAGTCTAAGAACTGAAGCTGTCTTGGATACTCTTACCAACTATATTGAATCCCTTGTAAAAGTACGACAGAAAACAATCTTTGTTAGTCTATGGCCAACTCATACAGATTAGTGATACATAACTGACCTCCAATCTTAATGATGCGTTACACTACAAACATACTGTGCAAAGGTCGTGACAAAAAGATTGGAGTCTACAAACTCGCTGTGAATATTTCTCGATCTCTTTTAATTCTATGTGAATAAACATTTGAGTAGAATGCTAGATAAATGCAAGAATAAACTATTACTATTCCTATTACTTGTTTATACTTGCGATTCCTCGTTTTTATGCTGGATCGAATTGATCGATCTCTGTTGGTATAGGAGATCCAAAACGCATGGCTCGATATTGCCTGATTATTCATCATTATGACTTACTTCGAGGTGGTTAGTATTGGAACCCAGGATCAGTGTTTCGTCCAATTCAGGACTTACCATTCGGTTCTACCTGCACCCTAGTGAGTGACAGTGTTCCAACTAAGACTCGAACTCTGCACGCATCGCTTCAAACACCAAAGCGTTGCCTAGTAGGTGATTGAGGCATGAGGATCACCTCTCGTACAACGGGTATTAGTATTATCATTTCCAGAGTGGATGGGTGCGGGGTTCGAGTTTCAATGAGAACACCATTACTCACTGGGGTGCAGGCACATCCAGTTGATGAGTCCCAAATAAAATCAAACGCCCGTGCTGGATTCCACTGTTACCCACCACCAAGTAAATTGTATTAGTGTTCCCTTCCAAACCTAATTATATGTAGTGAATACGGACCCATGAACTAACAGTTACCACCAGTTCAGTGCCAAGACCACAAAAATATAACTATACTATGTGCAATAGTTGCATTTGCCGAAACCAATACTGTTGGGAATTTAGTTTTCATATATAATTTGAATAAATGGCGTAACCAGTATGACACGACAAGCACACTCAAACGAACGTCAAAAACTAGAATGCTAACCGATCCATTTTCTGACCATGACGCAGCTAGATACCGACCCATATGCTGCTTGGCTCGAACTCGGTTGACTGTACCTGGATGTAAGATAGTTGCAGCTTCGATTTCAGGTTCTGCATCTAAATCCTCCTCTGAAGAATCACTTTCATTCTCTGAATCGGATTCGCTTTCGTCAGCAGAATTCTACAGAAGACAATTGAAGTTATTCAACAGTTAATAAAGAATACTACCACTAATAAAGCAGTTGCATAGAGATCAACTGGAAATAGATTGTAATACTCTTGTGTACATCGAAAACTAGAAGTAGCATTAGCAACGTAATTACCGAATGGAAGTTTTATCGGTCCTTAAGCGGATAAACTTAGTTTCCCAGTCTGTATTAATGTGGAGCTTGATATTACCGCATAACAGTCTAAGCTCCTACACCCCAACATCACCTTGTCAAAGCATTAAAATGAATGATAAACATATGGGGAAAATATATAGTCAGACGCCGTAGAAACTCATCAGATAGGAGAAAGAATGGATAAGATAATAAAGAAACACGACCAAACAATAAGGATAAAAGGATGGGTGGATAAATTTTCAACCCTGAGATTGATTCTCGGTCACAGACCTAATGGACTGATGCTGTAATTGGGAACCTTTAACCTTTTACCTCCTTCCCCCCCCCCACATCTACTTTAAACTAACCGCGCGACTGTGTAGATAATGACTAGGCATGCATTCTGAAACCGTTGCATAAGTTCAAATGGAGAACCTTGATCAGCACGATAAGATTACTCCAACTAAACTAGTTAATCTTTGTGGGGTCATATTTTGCTTCTTTCCATCATTATCGATGGCGAAGCCAAACAGAAATGGCGACAGTGTGAGTCCTTAGTGTACACCACTGGTTGTTGTTACTCTGTACTAACCTATACACAGTATTCAGTCAGTCAATCAGTCTGTATGTGAGACATGAAATCACTATCCAATGGTTCTAGTTACCACCCCCGTTAGGGCATCAAAAGTGGTAGAAAGTCACCAGAACAGAGGGAGTGATATGGTTAAAAAAAATATATTAATATCAGCACGAAAGTAATGGGTGGATGCATCTGAACCCTTGAGATCAAATCTGAGCCAAATCACCTAGAATGTCCTTTCGAAAGTTTCGGTTGTCACACAGACGCCAACCTGGAGTCTCGAGTTTTTTTATATGGACCAGATTAACAGTCAAACGTTGGGGATTCAACTCTTTTGGTTCAATTGCCCCTGACTTTTTTGGACGCTAAATATACTTCAGCCAATATTGCACATTGGAATCGATGGTGACCAGGCATGCATAACATGTACCCGTCACCTGACTGGATAGAAACCTACGATCTCACTGACTGAACTAGCCGAATACTTTACGCCTCATTCCTAGACAACTAAAGTGGTGGGTCTAAGACGATGCTACAAAAGCACCAAAGATTATCACGGACTAAGAAGTTTGTAAAAATACAACAAACAGATAAGACGGCTAGAAAGTACCGGAACTCGTTTACAAGTAGTTAAAAGAGCAAATCAAAAGTAGAAAGCCAAATGAAGAAACAGGAAGGAATTCATGAATTTAGAGTTATGAGATCAACGAAACCACTTTAAGAAAATTTTTGTTAGGCAATTATTTTTGATGTTAATTTGCATGGTCCCTACAAAAACTACTTTAAATTAACAGCATGTTTACAAAAGGTCATTTTATTTTACGACTCACTATTCACAGAAGGTAATAACTAAGATATCTGAGGTTGACGAACAAACTGAACTATAAATGAAATCCGAAGTTTTGGGTCACATTACACCTAAAATTCATGCAGTAACGAGCATCAGGATGGCGAAGCAACTATTTGTACTAAGAGCAAATGTGGATCCGAAGACAAACAGAAATGTTGTTTTCATGTCGAAATAGTCAAAACTATTAGGTCGTTCAAAAACACCAACTTGGTTCTCCACAAGGAAGCGTATTTAATATGAAGAGTGGAAAGGACGAATTATATGTGCTGCAGAACAATATACATACACACCAGGAAAGCTACCTGATATGAAAGTCGAAATTGTAAAATTGTCGTACATGTTTATGAATAAGTTTTTCGATTCAAAGCCACATAAATATCTCAGTCGCCGATTGAGGTCACAAATACTTTAAGTAAAGTCACTCCTCTTATATTCGTAGATGTTGCGTGGTCGACTTTCAACTTGATCTGAATTAGGTTCTTTTCAAATGAACTAGAGTTACTATCAATCACATTCAAATATGCACCGACCAATCAGGATCCAGTAGGTGAAAAGCATTATAGTTAATAAGAAAAACGTTATTTTATTCACAAATTGTAAACCTGTTATATATGAGAAATAATATCTAGATTTTCAATTGGTCCACCATCTTAGAAACCACACCACTGTCCACCATTCTACTCATCCATTTGAGACAATATCACATCCCTGCGTAACCGTGTTAAAGGTCTTACGAACTTTCTACGTCTTTACATATTCTTAGTGTTCTTGTGTGCAACGAGTGTCAGACCAATTAAATGCCTCTAGTGAAAGATAACTTAGTGAAGAGTAACCCGATTCAGCTAACGGTATGTATGACCGCCAAACATTTATCCATATGGTATTTCCTGATCCTACTCACTTTTCTATAACTGGTAGCAGGGTAGATTATTTGGACATATCCTTTAGACATTGAAAGTGTTTTCCGTACTTCCATCGCATATACCAGGTGTATGCAACTGACCCAGTCCTGTTTAACTCACCCTCCGCTATATTTACACTTTGGAACATGACATTCGTGTATTATCACACAAACGCCTACTCCTCCAAACTTCACATTCAGTCTGTTGATTATTTTGAAGCAAATATCTCTGCACTAATGATACCACTACACCAAAGAAAGTTTTACAGCATCCTTAAGAGCTCCTGCTAATATTATAGATGCTTTAACTTAGCGTAGTAATAAAATGCTAGTAAGTTAGTACGATCCTTTGAATAGAGGTTTTGTTCTCGTATGTCTTTTTGTCACACTTGGAGCAACAAAACTTGGAGATACCTTTCTTAGTGTCAGGCACTAGCCATTAGTATACCACATCGGTAATTTAAACTCCTTGCAAGCAATACGATCTGCAAATAACTGATACCGTAGTTTACGCTATGATTCGTCAGCAGCTAAGTGTCCAGTTATCATAAGACTGTGAACTAGTATCCTGGATTATCCTATACAGCATTTACAACCTGACTCCTCATCCTCGAATTCCCATCACTAAGATTCAGGTCAACCATAAGTTCAAAAAGGGGATAAGCGAAAATATAGGAATCTGCATGATGATGCAACCACACAAAAATGGTGACCAACCTTTCTTTTGAATGGAATCATGTTGCACAGGCGCATGACGACCAATTTATTTTGATTACCCTTAGATGCTTCGGTCCCCGCTATGATACAAGCGCTGTGTGCGGCACCATTCAACTCAACACAGCGGCTCGGACCAAGGTTGTCGGTTAGAATATCAAAGCTAAGACTGGAAGACTCCACTTCTAGCTCGAGGAACATTGTGTACGCATTTTTATCCATAACTAACTCTTCATCATCTTCAAGTGGCCGTGATCGACCTGGAATGTAAACTTCATCCTTGACCTGACATTCATCAACATCCATCTTATTCTCAGATGAGTCCTCGGTTTTTTGTTGTCCCCTACCCTTGGTCTTCGTCTTTCTGGAGACCTCAACTGAATCGCCTTCATCCACGCTCATCATCACTCATACTTGAAATGTTTCATCTTCTGAAGGTCAACTTTGAATATCCAATATCCTTTTAAGAGTTAGTGCAAACCAACTGACCTCTTCCAATTCACATCCAGACCTTGCGGAATGGTTCCACGTCCATTGGAAACATTATTTTAAGCCGCAACTGAGGCGTTTGAGGGTGAAGAGAGTCAGAATTTCAAATCAATCCTTTATTGAATATATAGGGTATTTTGTTCAGTTTTGTTTTAAGCGACTTAATTGACAGTGTGGGCATGAAATTGCTATAAGGCCTCTTCTGAGACTGATGCTGCTGGTAACCAATCAGTAGAAGTAAAGTACATGAACACAGACGTTCTGCAAAACAGTGAAATACGAACCTTTTTTAGTGCACCTTCCAGGCGCCAAAATACAACTAGGGCTTAAATAAATAGACCTCTGGCTCGCCACCGGATGCTTAGGTATTTTAAGCTTTGTTTTAACGATCATGCATACGGCGCCACTTTGCGCTCCCTTTGTCCTGGCCGGCACGCACGCACTCAGAGTCCCTGGTTCAGCCATACTAGCCAGATAAGTTGAATAAACTTTTTCCCTACTCATTACTATTGCATTCATTCCAAACAAGTATATCTCTTCAAATATATTCCTGAAACCAGTTGTTTTGATTTGTGCTTCGTTATCAGTACTTACACGTCTGGTAAGGTACTGGTTAAGCAGGTGCTAAAGCACATCAAGTTGAGTAGGATTGCTCAAACGTTGCGGAATGGTCACACACCCCCACAAGTTTGAGTTTTTTTTTAAAAACTCGAAACAGATTCCCGCCACGACTTCTGGAAGAGAAATTCTGAGTTTAAATCTCCTGATTCCTCTGGGGTAGCGTGGATCAAAGTTCTCACCAAACATTTCCTCAGAAAGCACAAACCCAATGTGAACTTTAGTGCAGTCTTGAGTGTTAGAACAGACAGAAAGTCGATTATTTCACAACCAAATCTGAACTAATTGCTCAGCCTTAACCTTCCGTCTTGTTAACTCATCACTAACCTTGGTCAAAGGCATTGTTGTTATTATATTCATCAATTACTAACCTTGGCCATTGGTCACGTCAGTGATCTTTTATAGGCCCATAATTAACCAGCGTCTAAGAAGACAGTTTTTCTATAATAAGTTTGCCAGCCATTGGTCCGATAGCATAACTATACAAGGTTGCATTTGGGCTGATTTTGACCTCTTTAAGGAACAAAAAATCCTACCTAGTTGCCATCACCTTCTGTAACTAACAGTGGTGTAGACAATATCCCAGTGATCTGTATGCATTTCCATGTGTTTCAGTGTTGTGGGTTCGTAACGAGGTCCTAACTGGTAACTTACCAGTTAAGGGAAATCTCATGACGCAACGTAATTCGGTCATGGATCATCGAAATCATGTCTCACTTTCGAAGATGTGCAGCTAATTATACAACTGCAGTTCAAGCACTGTGCAGTGTCGCGGAGAAAGGCCATAATGAGATTAACTCAGACATCGTTTCTGTAACCATCCAGTCCCCTGTACACTGAAAGAATCGGTTGGAATCTGTAGCCAGTGATACAAATTATTTTTGTCCCAGACTCTAGTGGCACCTGTGCTTCATGGCTTAGAAAGTTTGGAGATTCATTCAGAGTGAGTTTGAGACAGCTGGAAAGTAACATGGAAGTTCGTGAACTCCTTAGTAAAATTGGTCCTCAGGGACTTGCAACGCGTGTCGATTCTGCCTGGTGAGATAAATAATAAATAAGTGTTTAATTTCCACATTAAAAAGTTTAACAAGCGGGAAGCCAGTTTACAGGCTTCATCACGTTGATACATCTCAAAATATCTAAAAGACTTTACGAGTCCCGAGTGGTACGGACAGAATGTCATTAAACTCAATTAAAAATAGCAGAAGATCCTGCTAGTTATGAAATGAACAAGGAAATATTACTTTTCAGCGTACACACAGTGTTAAAGTTTAGATAATAATAAATATTATCCTCACACAATGGGTTTAACAGAGGGATACCAGTTTACAAGCACCGTCAAATTCATAATTTTTGGAAGTCTACAAACTGGTATTTAGTATTAATTAATTCACGTAACAAGTCATCGGTGTGCATATTCTTATTAAAATTTGCTGAAATCCATGAGACAGGCATGGACTTTCATTTCCCGTCACATAGACAGGTTCCATTACCAATATCAAAAGCGTGCAGCGTTCAAAGTTTGCGTTATAACCAACCAACGTTCATAATCCATCCACATAGTTTGCCAATTAGGAACTTAACTATCTGTCCCTTAGAATGATCTTCAGCATTTAGCCTTGCTAACCACAAAGGGCCAGTTTATACAATCAGGAGTAACAACAAAGTATCCACAGTTATACAACCAACGTGTATGTCTATATCAATGCATTTCCAGCTCACAGTTTGTTGTGTTCGATTGATTTAAAAGTTAAAATTATCAATAATCCAAACGGCAGTATTTATACACAGACTTCAGGTACCTCTCGTATAAGCGAAAGCAGTGTCATTTAAGAGTTGTAGTTGTTGTATAGTAGCTTTAAAAGGAAAAGATCACTTCATACACAGTACCAGAAAAACGTGTAGTGTGGAGCTGCTGCAGCTAAGCCACGATATACTCATCACGTTAATAACGATCAAACTGCCCCAGTTCCCAGTATACCACTTCGTAAACATGCCGAGGTATATAAACGTTTCAAGAATTCCACGGAAAAAAGCCGCTTAATTTTTTCTTCATGCTCCTAAACATAAATATGTGTGTTTTCAGTACAGACCAGCTCAAATTTTGGTCTTTGCCTCCTACTCATAATCTCCATCTGGTACAAAATCAGAGCTCGTATTTTATTTCACATTGAACAATTCCTGTTTGAACCTCCAAGAAGTGTACCTGAATACCAGATTCTGCCGAAATTAAAACACGGCACGAAAATGACTGAGAATATGAGTCACTGACACATGCTGTAAAACCTGGTTGTTATCAGTCACGGTCTTCAGCCTGGAACATTCACCGGTATCACAGCGACAATTCCAAAAAACCAATACAACATTGAATGCCAGCCAGTTTACGGAACTTCTCGCGTTTGTGGCGCCACACACTTCCCCAAAATTAATAGCCTAGGGTTTGACGAGATTCAACATTGATGCTGACCTTGATAGTTTAACTGGAATCGCTAAGCTGAAGGCAACCGGTCAAGCGTCCCCGCCATTTGGCACGCTGTCGTGTTACATTGCACTTCTCCTAGTCGACTCTCTAGACAGCTAGTTGGAACGCATCGGCATCTCGGCCTGACTTCGCAAATATACTGTTCCATCCGACTACGCTATTGTGTTACTTCTTGATCTCGTATTCGTGGGCGTATAATAATTTAGAATGATTAGTGTTCGGTCTTTGCGTCTGTCAAGTTCGCACCAAGACAATTCCTGGAAACTCATGCCAAGTGGGCTTTTTGACACAAATCTGGTATGATAATATTCACTCGATTCCAAGCACGTAGGATGCGGTATGGAATTTTCAGCAGGGAACATTTCAACGAAATTACTTTCCGCCCAGAATTTTTGAGCGATAAATGAAGGCGAGAAGTCGAGAATGAGGATCTACGACTCCCTGTTCTCGAAGATCTTCATGGGCATACAGAAACCATGTTTCTGCATTGTCTGGCCAATTTGGCACAAGTTGGATAGTGTTCGTAGTCGGCTTAATACGGATAAGCTTCGGAGTATGGTCGGACATGAGAAAGAGTTGTATATGGCTATATAACGGTCATCAAAATGAAAATGATATACAAGTATAAAATGGAACAGGCTCACCAATTTAAGATTTGTTATAAGCTGGGATATGTTATCACGTTGGGCCCACCAATTTAGGAATTGTCTTGGTGCGAACTTGACAGACGCAAAGACCGAACACTAATCATTCTAAATTATTATACGCCCACGAATACGAGATCAAGAAGTAACACAATAGCGTAGTCGGATGGAACAGTATATTTGCGAAGTCAGGCCGAGATGCCGATGCGTTCCAACTAGCTGTCTAGAGAGTCGACTAGGAGAAGTGCAATGTAACACGACAGCGTGCCAAATGGCGGGGACGCTTGACCGGTTGCCTTCAGCTTAGCGATTCCAGTTAAACTATCGAGGTCAGCATCAATGTTGAATCTCGTCAAACCCTAGGCTATTAATTTTGGGGAAGTGTGTGGCGCCACAAACGCGAGAAGTTCCGTAAACTGGCTGGCATTCAATGTTGTATGGTTTTTTGGAATTGTCGCTGTGATACCGGTGAATGTTCCAGGCTGAAGACCGTGACTGATAACAACCAGGTTTTACAGCATGTGTCAGTGACTCATATCTCAGTCATTTTCGTGCCGTGTTTAATTTCGGCAGAATCTGGTATTCAGGTACACTTCTTGGAGGTTCAAACAGGAATTGTTCAATGTGAAATAAAATACGAGCTCTGATTTTTGTACCAGATGGAGATTATGAGTAGGAGGCAAAGACCAAACTTTGAGCCGGTCGCTTGCGAGCAGCAATACGATAGATGAACTACCCGCTAAGACTTTCTTTCTGCAGTCAGTCTGTTCAGAATTATAGTCGTCAAATCTCCAAATTGCTGGTTTCCATTTTTATACTTCTACCGTCGTCTGCCAGCGAAAAACAAAACACCTACAGTAAGGCGTTGGGATGCTGCTTATTTCAGCCGACCAGACTGTTTCAAAAATATTTTCCGGTGCAATTTTTATGCATAAGAGGCCAGCTACTCATGCAGCACTTCGGTTAGCCAGAAAATATCAAGGGAGTGAGAAGCATCGGATGCCCTACAGTTGGTGAAATGTTTTACAAGCGCAGTACCGATTTCCGTAATAATAAATGTAGGTGGCACTGTACGTTTGCGTGCCAACTCTTCCATTGGGTTGAATTTTTCTCCGGAAGGTCACTCACGCTGACTGACTTTTCCAGGTTACAATTTTGCTAGGTTGAGTGGT